CCGATTCTAAGCTCAATACTATAGAGTCGGCCAACTCTGACGGAACCAATAGAGTGACTGTAGTTAGCGGTGATCTTCACCATCCGTCCAGTTTGGATATGTTTGAAGACCAGCTCTATTGGGTGACGCGAGACACCGGAGAGATCTATCGTCACGACAAGTTTGGCCGAGGAGTCAAAGTGCGGGTCAGGCGATCGCTAGAGCACGCGACTGATGTCAAGATCTATCAGGAAAAGAAGTACAACACATCCCGTAAGCCTTCAAATAATTATTATATAATTAATGTGAAATTGTTTGACATTAAAATGGTTTTTCGTGATCTCACCACTTGTTTAGTGTCCAACCCGTGTCAGACCGCCGGCTGTTCCCACTTATGTTTACTAATTCCTGGCGGATATCGGTGTTCGTGTCCCGACTCGATCTCATCGGTGATTAGTGTGAACGGTAACTGCAATACAGCGTACGAACAGCCAAAAGCTGTGCCCCATCGGTGTCAGTGCAGAAACGGTGGTTCATGTATTCACAGCGAGAATGAATTGTCCAAGATCATTTGCAAATGTTTGGATAACTTCGAGGGAAACAATTGCGAAGAGTATATCCCTCGAAGTCAAATAGGAGGAGACAATGACAAAGTGTTTGTTGGCAAAGCCATAGCACAGGTAACACAAGAGAGGCAAAGAGCGCTCGCATTGACTTTATAGATGAAATTTATTGCTAAAGCGGTGATACTTTAACCCCGTATGTCATGTCATTGAATTGTACGGCATATGCCGTTTGCGCTGCCGTTTCTCTCAATGCGCTTTCAATCAAACGCCTGTTCATAACATACAGTTCCTCATAAAAATTGCCTGAATTATGAGCTCTAATGCTATAAATTTGTTGAAACACCTCATCATAAGATGAACACTCCGTTGGCGTTACTCTTTATGGTGTAATTACAGCCAGTTTTGCCGGTCATCTGTTTGTTGTCATTATAGTCTCATCGCTTATAAGAAGCGCTTTTTGACGGCTCTTTAAAAGCCAAACACTTCTTCGTCTTTAAGTTCATAATTAAATTTCGATAAATATTTCACTCAAACATACGTTTAAATTATGGATTACGAAAAACGGAGCTATATTTGAATGTAACTCTTATTTATGGGTTTCTATGAATTATATTCAGTCTTCTCTTTATTTTTGTTATCCAAAACCAAAACCAAAATTTTGTTTTGACTTTACAAATAAGTCAAACATTCACTAAATAATTACATTTTCAATCAGTCACTCAATTCTACACTATTTTGCAGAGTTATTGGCCATTAAAGAAACGATTAAATTTAATTGAAAATATTAAATATAAGTTATATTTCCATTGCATTAACTATTAGCTGAAAATTTTTAGTTCGTTGCCATATATGCCATTAATATTATTATTAATTGTCTGATAAATGTTTGTGTAATGTGAAGAAGATATGATAAATATACTGTACGTATGAAATATAATAATATAATTTATATCTCAAAAATCATTTTATTTAAATATGAATTTTACAAGTATTTAATTGTTGTAATCAAAGAACTCTATATTGTGTTGGAATATAGAAAATACGATTGCATTCAAGATATTATAAATTATAGTATTTATAATAGTGTTGTTTAAAGTATTTTTAACACAAAAGTTTCATTCATTAATTATATGTTGTATTTTAGAAAATTTGCTAAACTTTTAATTGGTTTAAATTATTTATTCATTAAAACGATGTTTTGTTTCACAAAATTCAAAGAATATCAGGAAATAATTAAATGCAGAGAAAATAAATCTAATTTAAAACTTTAAAAATCTATTTCAATGTTGGAGTAAAACATTTGTTTTAGTGGTATATTGAATGGAGAGGAAAGTTGAGGCATAACTGAAAACTTCCTGATTTAATGAAATTCTTAAATAATAGACTCGACATAAGGCTCTAAATCACGATTTAATCATAATATATGATGATTTTTGCTATTATTTTGAGCCTATATTCAAATAAATATTTTAGTGATGAGTTTTCAATCATTTATTTTGGCACAGAATATAAGAATATAATCTCTGATAAGAGAGAGAATAATGGGAAACCTGTGGTCCATATAAAGGCGATCAAAATATTAAGAGTTGCCTTATCTTTGTGTATATTTTAAAAATACTATTTTTTCCATCAATTAATTATAAACTGCGAGTAAATTAATTTCTATAACAAAGGGATAGAAAAATCTCATAGAAAATAATGGTGGGATTCAGTAAAAAAGCACTTATCAATTAATCTGATCATTAGTTTTTGTTTTGTTTTTGATATAATCGTGTTTTATATAATCTAAATATTTTATAAATAAAATCAACGAAAACATTAAAATCTCACTTTAAAAACAATATTTTACAACTTTTCCTAAAAATCATAGACTTATAAAACAATCAAATGAGATATAAAATATTTAAGCGATCTTATGGTAAGATTGTTATCCGGCAATTGTGTTAGCTTTCAGATTATACTAGTATTTAATATTTACATTACATTAAGTATTAGTGAATATATAATGATAGGAATTAAATATGATAAAAGTCTATAAATTTCAAATTATATAAACATTCAATTCAAATATTATATAAATTTAGTAACTTTTATGCAGAATTATGTGGGAAAGCATTGAATATGAATACATTTACCGTATATTTTCCATTACATTTCATGTTAGTTATCGTAAACTTACTTAAATTTTGGCGACTTTTATATACATTTGTGTTTATCTATTTGTAATTCGCTATAATTTACATAAAATGTGATTTTAAAACCATTGAATTAAGGGTCTTCTTAAATATTTACCATTATTATGATTATTGATGAATAAAATGCGTTGAAAATAACTTTTTATTATCAACAAATATATAATTCATAAGTTTTTTTTGTCAAATATTAGATCTTTATTATTGTACACATTGTTTTATTTGGTCATAATTTTTCAAACAATTTATACAAAAATTATGAAATTATTATTTATTAATAATCTATACATTAATTTGTTTGTAATTAAAAGTTACTTTTTATTAATAGTGTGTAAATCTTTTCAAACAAATGACTAATACTAAAAATTAATTCATTTTGTCATATATTATGGGTTTTAATAACATTTTAGATCTCTTGTGACTTCTATTCTTCTTCTTCTTTATGAAAATGTATATCAATTATTGGATTTCTCTCTCATCTCTGGACAACAGTTGAGATTTAGGTTTGCATTAAATGCTTAATTATTTATTAAAAAATTGTGTGCACTTTCTGTTCAAAAAAATGTTTATAAAATATGTCGTTTGTATTGCATTATAAAAAAATATATAAATAAATCTACAAATTAATAATAAGTCATTTTATCATAAAAGAGGAATTTACTAAAAAACCTAATTATAAAATAATGGCAATTCATGACCAGAGATGGACGACATTATATAAAAATGTAACGATATTTTGATTAAAGCATTGAATTCATTGAAACCCCATATTTATATAAAATTATATATAACTTATACGCGAAGTATTTAAATATTATAGTCTTAATAACAAATCAACAATAATTATAACACAAATACTTCATTCAATACTTGGATTTTGTGATCAATTGAGAAGAAAAAACACATTTCTATTTATATAGGAATGAAATTCAATTGCAAATGAATGATAGGAAAAACGGGAATGAAATTGAAATAAGTTTTATAATTGTGTGGAAAAGAAGTAAAAAATATCACAACTGGTCTTCTTCTCAATAGTCGTCATCGGATCCGACGATTTAGCTTAAAGACAGACCGCAATCGGAATTATTTGTTGCACTTTTTGTTATATAAAAACAGTTAATAAAAAATTAATAAAAATCTTTTTTGATAAAATGTTTGTCACATGAAAAACAATGAATTGTTTTGTGTTTAAGGCTTGTCTCGTATAATGCACTAAAAGTAATGTTCCGTTTCGTAATAATTAGTTCATTTGAATAACAATATATTCACAGTTAATATTAGCACTTATTAACAGTTTTTTGTATTAACACATGGATTAACAGTCCGTTTTGTCCTCTTCTACTAGAAATTGTGTGTCTTTGTCGGTGTCCACTGACGTCGGGTTTAATGATATCTGTCTGATCTGGACCTGAGGTGACGACCTGTGGATGACACTCGACGGCGGCAGTACTGCCGATCCGGTCAATGATTTGTCGTAATTGTTGGTCACATCGATCGGCACTTTCTTGTTGTACAACTCGTCGGGCACTTCATATAAGCCCGTATTGGATGGGATGGAGTCGTTGTTTAATTTCTTAACGTTTTTATCGGTTCCATTGGATTCCACCTCTTCGTACATCGGGTTCTCAAAATCTGTTGACTTAATATCTCCCAAATGAAACTCTCCTTCCATTGGCGCCTAATTCACAAGTAATACAATTCTTAAATTACTAACTTATCTAACATTAAATACTTATATTTCTATATTTATTTAAATGCAATTTATAATCAAAAACTAAGAATATGGTAAAATATAGTGATGTATAAATGTGTAAATTATAACATACGGGTTGCTGTCCATCAGTGGGTCCGTTATGCATAAAAGCCGGTCCACCGAACTCTACGTTAGTTCCACTTCTGAAGGACACGCTTGGATTGATGCCATTTTTACTATAATATAGATTTTATCATTAATTGTAATTTAAATTTTTGCAATGATTGGATTGATTAATGTAACAAAAATCACTCACAAATTTCTTTTCTTAAAATAGGTGTAGAGAACGACCGCAACAACTAATGTCATGAGTACTATAATGATGGGCAGAACCACTTCGGCAAACACTTTGTCATTGTCTCCTCCTATTTGACTTCGAGGGATATACTCTTCGCAATTGTTTCCCTCGAAGTTATCCAAACATTTGCAAATGATCTTGGACAATTCATTCTCGCTGTGAATACATGAGCCACCGTTTCTGCACTGACACCGATGGGGCACAGCTTTCGGCTGTTCGTACGCTGTATTGCAGTTGCCGTTCACACTAATCACCGATGAGATCGAGTCCGGACACGAACACCGATATCCGCCAGGAATTAGTAAACATAAGTGGGAACAGCCGGCGGTCTGACACGGGTTGGGCACTAAGCAAGTTGTGAGATCACGAAAAACCATTTTAATGTCAAACAATTTCACATTAATTATATAATAATTATATGAAGGCTTACGGGATGTGTTGTATTTCTTTTCCTGATAGATCTTGACATCAGTCGCGTGCTCTAGCGATCGCCTGACCCGCACTTTGACTCCTCGGCCAAACTTGTCGTGACGATAGATCTCTCCGGTGTCTCGGGTCACCCAATAGAGCTGGTCTTCAAACATATCCAAACTGGACGGATGGTGAAGATCACCGCTAACTACAGTCACTCTATTGGTTCCGTCAGAGTTGGCCGACTCTATAGTATTGAGCTTAGAATCGGACCAATAAAGTCTGTGTCCGGCCTCGTAGTCGATGGTTAGACCGGTTGGATAACCGAGTTTTTCATTTATGATAAGTTTCCGTCGGCTGCCGTCCATCCAACTCGACTCGATCTTTGGTTGGATTCCGGCGTCCGTCCAAAACATTCGTCTTTTGGCATTAAATTCACAATTAATTACAAACAATAATTACATCATATTTAACAATAAATACCCTAATTCTGGATCCATTGCTATAGATGTCGGTCTTTCTAATCCATTAACGACTACTGCTTTGCGATATCGGCCGTCAAGAAGACTGGCGAATATACGGCCTTTGGGTTTGCTTTGGGAGAGATCCATATCCATCCAATACAAGTTCCTTCCGACCCAATCGACCGCAATGTCCACCGGTTTTGTCAAACCTTTGAGCTCCAGATTTTGCGAGAAACCATTTCCATGTTCGGGATCACTTGGATTGGGTATCACCGCTCTCTTTATAGTCTTATCGTAAGTATCGGTCCAATAGAGTATATCTTGAGTTCAAAACAATTCATGATTAGCTTTAAAACTCTTAGAAATAATATAATTAAAAATCAAATATACCGGTGAAGGGATCGTAATCGAGAGACTGAACGCGACTCTCGCCGGCGATCAGCGAAGACTGATGTTGTTGTGACAAATCAACTGCTCTTATATCGGGTCCGTCGGTGTAGAAGACAAAGGCTGGCACTTCGCTCTTCACTACACAACGCTCGTCAATCAATTCAAAGCCTGGTTTGCATTTGCAGTTATAGCTGCCCTCAGAGTTCACACAAATCTGGGAACAATTGTGACCAAAACCCGCGCATTCATTGATGTCTTCGCAAACTTTGGTATCATTGAGTTGTATTTGGTATCCACTGAAAAACAGTAACAAATTATTAGTAAATTAGACTTTTGTTATAAATATATGAAGACTGGTTGGGACGCATACCGCGGACAAACACAGATGAAACCTCCGTCACCAATGATGGAGCAGTTGTGCTGACAGCCACCTCTTGTCTCTCGATTGCAAACTCCTTTATGACAACCCTTTTCGTCGGAAAGGTCTCCGCAGTCGTCGTTGTGGTCGCAAACCTTCTCCATTGAAACGCACTGTTCGTTAGTGCACTTGAATTGGTTGGCGAGACAGGGAAGCGGCCACTTTCGGCACAGAGTGTGGTTATTCTCGTCGCTGCCATCGCCGCACTCGTCCACTCCGTTGCATATTTGCCACAATGGGATACACCTCTTGTTATTGCACTGATATTTTCGGGTCAGATCGCACTCAAAGCTCTGACACATTGACTCCAATTCGTCGGTTCCGTCGCCGCAGTCGTCGTCGCCGTCGCACAAGAAGTCTGGTCTCAAACACACCGTATTATTGCACTGATAGAGCGAGTCCTGACAGAAGCGGCCGTTCGGGTAACGCGTCGGACAGTTTGTCTCGTCGGACACGTCCTTACAGTCTTTGTTTCCATCGCAGACCAGCTTTTGTGGTATACAGTGACCGCTTCGGCACTTGAATTGATCGTCTTTGCAATGATAGTCCAGACACTCCTTCTCATCGGTTCCATCGTCGCAGTCGTCGTCGTGATCGCATCGCCATCGAGAAGGTATGCACTTCTTGTTCCCGCACTGGAACTCACTCTCAGAACATTCCCGATAGAGATCGACACACATTGTGTGCTCTTCATCTGATTTGTCGCCACAATCGTCCTCAAAGTCTATAGCATTTATTCAATTAATTTTTGCGTCAAAACATAAAACAATATAATAATTACCGCATCGCCACCGAAGAGGAATACATCTGCCGTTTTTGCACTTAAAGTCTCCCGTTTCGTGACATTTGGGACAGTAATCGGTATTACTTTCGTCCGAATTGTCTCTACAGTCGTCTTTGCCGTCGCAGAAGAGCCAACTGGGAATACAACGGTAATTGTTTCTCGTCGGACACTTCTGCCAACCGGTGGAGCAGTTCCTGTTGCGACACCTGTGCGCGGGTTCGTCAGAGTTGTCGCCGCAATCGTCATCGAAGTCACAGAACCATAGCTTTGGTATGCATTTGCCGTTTTCGCACCGGAATTGTGTGTCTTTATCGCATTGACGCGAATGACAGACCGACGAGTCCTCATCGGAACCATCGGAACAGTCGTTGTCTCCATCGCATTGCCACGAGTCGGGAACACAACGGCCAGTGGACCGACACTTGAAGCTGTGTTCACCGCAATCCGTGTCGCAGAAGCTTTCGTCCGATTTGTCGCTACAGTCGGGGATACCGTCGCAGATGCGGATCCTTGAGATACAGGTTTGATTGTTTCTGCACTGAAACATCCCGGGCTTGCACTGGAAGGGCGCGCAGTTTACTTCATCGGACCCGTCTCTGCAGTCCTTGTCTCCATCGCAGGTCCAGAACACTGGTATACAACGATCGTCGGGCGCCTGACATCTGTGCTGTCCTTTAGTACAGTTGGCGATACATGTCTTGTTGTCTTCTCTAAGTAGGAAATTGTTAGGACAGCTGCACGTATAGGTCTGACCGCCCGGCGCTATAAGGCATAAGTGAGAACAGCCGCCATTGTTGTCGCCGCACGGGTTATCGTAAGGCAATTGTTTTAAGGGGTGATAAATGTGTATATCGTATGGTCTGTGCGATGTATTCCTCAACACCTGTAGGTTTTCACCAGAAAACTTATGGGCTTTGACTAAGCCTTTGGTATTCCAATCCGTCCAATACAGCCAATCGTCAAATACAGACAACGCAAACACATGGGGAACAGAGGGGCCACTCAGCACCGTATGTCTGTGTCGGCCCTCGAAGTCCGAGTACTCGATGTAGTCGAGGTGTGCGTCAGCCCAGAACAGCTTATTGCTGAAGTAATCAATGGTGAGAGCGTTGGGCCAAACGAGCTTCTGTTCGTATGTGATAATTCTGCTGAAGTTCGTGCCATCCATTCCTAACTTCCCGATACATGAATGGTGTCCCCAATCGGTGAAGAATATGTAACCAATTCCCGGGTGCACGACAATGGCCCGCGGATCAGACATACTTCGGCCGAGTATAGTCTTCCTGTGATTTCCGTCCAATTCGGCCACTTCTATGTGTTTACTGGTTCTGTCCATCCAATAGATCTTCCGTCCGACCCAATCGACAGCAATGCCTTCGAGACCATGAGCTTCATGTCTGATCACATTCTGCTCTCCGGTTCCGTTCGCGAAGATTCTGTTAATAGTTTTGTTGCCGACGTCCGCATAATAGACGCGTTCCTCCCTATAGTCGAAATCAAGTGCCACCACATTCTTCAGATCCATTTTAATGAGATTATAAACGGTTCCATCAGTACTGATGTTCCGCAGATAATATCTGTTACTAAATATAATCCATGGCTCGACATTATCCCTCCGTTTGCATACGTGTCCATTCAGTTCCCTCTCATAATAGGTTTCATTACATTTGCAATAATAAGAACCGGGAGTATTGAAACAGTATTGACTGCACTTTCCCTTCAATGTATTGCATTCGTCGATGTCTTCGCACGCCTTTCCATCTTTCATGAGATGATATCCTTCATTGCATTCGCAGTAAAAACTGGTCAAAGTGTTAATACACTTGTGTTCGCATTCATTGATCTCAGTTTTGGCGCATTCATCGACATTGCAATGCGCGGGTTCATCACTGCCGTCGTCGCAGTCGATCTGTTTATTACAGACGCGTTCATAAGTAATGCATTGACCGCTTTTGCATCGGAACTGTCCGCCGGCACACGTCGGCGCCTCTGTCTTGCATTGGGGCTGATTCTCATCGCTTCCATCGCCGCAATCGTCTTCGCCGTCGCATAAGTAGTTCTTTCGGATGCATTTCGTGTTACGACACGAAAACTCTTCGGGCGAACACGTCCTGAACGTACAGTTCCGGTGCTCATCGGATCCGTCGCCGCAGTCGTTATCGTGATCTGCGAGACAAACAAAATATATGTTAAAGTTTTCAAATTATTTAATAAGTTGAATGAATACAACTTACCACAAACCCATTCCTTGTTAATACACCTGTGATTACTGCAACTAAACTGATCCGATTCGCAGGGCTCGGGCGGCGGACAGCTGTGAATAGTGGTGTTCTCGTCGGCGCCGTCCACACAGTCCGGATCTCCGTCACAAATCCATCGTTTGGGTATACACTGCGCGCGACCCCAGTTCTTGTTGGCCGAACACGTGAACTCTCTGTCGGGATCGCACTGACGAGTGTCGCACTGGTGTCTCACATCTTCGTCGGAATTGTCGAGACAGTCGTTATCGCCGTCGCAGATGTAAATCCTGGGAATGCAGTTCCCGTTATCGCAAGTGAACAGATCGCCAAAACAGGTCCTCTTTTCACTCTTGCAATACTCTTCGGGTTCGTCAGCCTTAGAGCCGCCGCAGTCGTCGTCGCCGTCGCAATACCAGGTCGCGGGTATACACCGATGGTTTGGACACCGGAAGCTATTCGGTGGACACGTCCTCTCAGAACAGATCAACGAGTTTTCATCGGAATTATCGCCGCAATCGTTGTCGCCGTCTGTTTGTGGAAAAGTTTATGGCAATCAATACTTGACACTCAAAATCAAAGCAAATTGTTTTAAAGCCCTACCGCACAGCCAATAGGGTTCGACACAAATGTTGGTTCCCTCGCACTTGAGATGATTTCCCGGACACGTCCTGTTGTTCGGACAGATTGAGTGACTTTCATCTGATGTCTTGGAGTCTTTGCAATCGTTCACTCCATTACACAATTGAGATTTAGGGATACACTTATGGTTAGCGCACGTAAACTCTCCATCAGCACAGGGAGGGTATTCTGGTTTGGATAGCATTTATGGCAATTAATGTCATGGTTTCACATACTGTACAGTATTATAGTTTATGTTAACACTTACGACATCCTTCTTCGTCGGTATTATCTCCGCAATCGTTCTCGTGATCTGATTGTAAGATAGAAATAATCAAATGTATAATAAAACTGTTGATTCATAAAACATCAAATATTTACCGCATTTCCATGTTTTGAAGACACACCGGCCGTTACCGCACCGGAACTCATTTGGACTACAGGTATGTAATGCTATAGAAATATAAACATTTTATAATTAAAGTAAAATCATAAAAATTGTGATAAAATTGAATGAGAACTGACAGCAAAAGACTTTGTCCTCATCGGAGTTGTCGCCGCAGTCGTCATCGCCATCGCAGGCCCACAGTCTGGGAATACACTTGGAGTTACTGCAGGCGTATTTGGTCTCTTCGCAGCTCACATTCTCGGGAACACACATACGGTTCTCATTGGCCAGTTTGTAGCCGGTATTACACCGACACTCGACCTGACCATTGGGCGCCTGATGGCATGAGTGGGCGCACCCGCCGTTGTTCAACGAACACGGATTCTTATCACACAATTGTCTCTGCGATGAATAGATGTGAATATCTCGCGGCGACTCTTCCAAGCGTTTGACCATTTCTATCATTCCGGCGCCCGTATGCTTCTCAGCCCTATACACACCCCTCAGCTGAAGGTCTGTCCAATAAATGTAATTTCCAAACACGTTCACAGCGAACGGGTATATCGTGGCCGACACTAACACTTCCCGATTCTTTCCGTCCATATCTGATCTCTCGATTTTCTCGCGCAATGCGTCCGTCCAGTAGAGCTTCTTCTCCTCGTAATCAATACTCAAACCACTCGGTTGTGTCAACTCCTGGTCAACGATAGCTTTCTTCTCATTGCCGGCCATCGTTGCCCTAAAAATTTTGCCCGAATTTCCAAAACGACCTTAAAGTTCAGGAATAATATTATAAACTTATTATCATACAAGAAAAAGTAATCAAATAAATATTAAACAATTTACCCCAATCGGTGAAATACATGAATCCCTGGCAGGGGTCCACTACTATAGCCCGGGGCCGTTCAACTCGTGTAATCATCACAATCTGAGAGCCGTCGGTATTCATGGAATATATGCTTCTGTTTCCGGAATCAGTCCAATAGATCTTCTTTGCGGTCCAGTCGTAAGCGATTCCCTCGGGATTTATGCCTTTCGACAAAATCACATTCACTTCATCTCTTTTATCGATATTCATCCACGAAATGCTTCCGTCGGGACGTATTTGAGTGAAAAACATGCGTTTATTGGCGTAATCGAAGTCAAGGCCCACAACATTGGAGAGGTTTACGCGGGGAGGGAAGGGAGCGCTCGTCACCTGTGGGTCTAGATTGACGCTACGGATCTCTTTCCTTGTGGTGAACACAATGTATTCGTCAACGTTTTTGCACTTTTGTTTGTCCGGAGCCAACACTCCTGTAGAACAGGCGCACCGATAGTTAGACGTCTCGCTATAACCCTGAGGTATAGCGAAACAGAGCTGTTCGCACATCCGGTCACCCAATCGAGAACAGGGAGATTCACCCGGAGGTTGATTATTGGCGTCAAAGATGACAATATCGCGCAAAGTATCCAAATTTGATTTGAACGGTTCGGGCGCTAATGTGTTGTTATCCGCGTATTTATTGCCTCTGAAAATAGTCCGCAAATTTCTGTCCACCCAATAGACAGTGGAGCCCAGTATTGACACGCCGTAAGGCGTCGGCAAGTTTTTCCAGATGTATTGTCGCCGACCGCCGGAAAACGACACCTTTTGAATGGCGTCCTCTCTGGCGTCGACCCAATAGACATCGTGTGTGAGTATATCAATGGTCAGGTCTCTGGGATTACTGATTCCGGTGACAACAATTGGTGTCCTATTAGTGCCGTCGAGCAAAGCCTTCTCTATTTTGGGGAACTGCCCGTAATCTATCCAATACAGGAACCGTTTGATCGGATTCACAGCTATCTCTCGCGGGGCGTCGGTCGTGGTCTTCACCAAAACCATGCGATGAGTTCCGTCCAAATAACTCACTTCGATGTATGTCTCGTGTGGGAAGACATTCGTGAAATACATATTACCGGCGATCCAATCGATAGCAATGCCACGAATGCCGTTACTTCCGATACCGTCGCTAATGATGTGCTGTTTCTCAGTGCCGTCCGGTTTGATACGATAGATACCGTTGAGTTCGCCCGGATTGTACTCAACCCAATAGATGTGACTCTTCACTACATTCACGTCGATGTGGAGTATGTTATGTCCGGCGCCGGCCAGCGGTTGAATGGCTTCGGCGTGATCTTCGAGACTAAAGCCTTGCATTCGGTTGAGCGACGAGACGACAGCGAACGACTTGTATGGCTGACAATTGGTCTCACCGTCTGTCTTGAATCCAGTGCTACACAAACACTTGCGTTGATTATTATCGGACGGAATGCACAGTTGTTGACAACCGCCGTTACCGCCACGACACGGATGGTTCTCAACGCCCGGCCTTTTGCTGTATATTTTGATATTAGAGAGCGAAGGGGTGTTCTCTTCAATGGTGTTGGGGTTCCCGCCGTCCGGAAGGTTAACGCGATATATCTTCTCGTATACGGAATCCAAATAATATAAACGATTGTTATATACAGAGAGTCCCTGAGGTTTGGCAATACCAGAGCTGGCGATGACAATAGTTCGGCGATCTCTGCCCTCGGGATCGATGCTTTCGATGACTCCGGTATGGCTTTGGCTGAAGTAAAGGCGTTTATTGATGAGATCGAAAGTGAGTGCCTCGACGTGATGTAGTGAGTCCTTCACCAGAATCGTGGCATTAGATCCGTCCATATTAGAGCGCGACACCTTCTGCGGCACTCCGACCCCTCCCTCGTCCAACCAATACAGCTTTCCCTGCAATGGATCCAAAACAATGGCCTTCGGTTTCGCGACACCCTTTTCGGAGCCATCATTGCTGAGAATAGTCCGGCGGTAATACTTCTCGCCGTCTGTTTTGACGACCGCTATATTGGAGGCCTTTTTGTTGCCGATATACAGATTACGTCCGATCCAATCAAACGCTATACAATAGGGCGCACCCACTATACCGTCGGCCAGGAATTTGGTTTGATTGCCGCCTTTGAGACTCACTTTATAGAGGGTTCCGTTCTCTTTGTCGTCTTCGCGGAGTTGTACCCAATATATGAAGCCCTCCTGTTTGTCGTAATCAAAGTCATAGCCATTCTCTACACCAATAACTGGAGTGAAATGTCCCACAGATTTTTCGTTGGGAGTTAAACTCAAGTCAACGATTTGCGTGCCTTTCATAACCATTAGGTATGGGGTCTCCACTGGTATGCATCGACCGCCTGAAGCAGTCCTGTCCTGTCCATAACCGGGCGGACACTTACAGGAATATCCTTCGGGACGCGGAGAGAGAAGACATAAGTGAGAACACGAGGCTTTGGTGCAGGGATTCGGTGCCGTCGGCTGAAGCAACGGATGATTGATATGTATTCCCAAGGGTTGGCTCACGAGATGAGAGACAACCGTTTGGTTTATTCCTTTGTATTTATGACAAGAAAGCACTCGATTTAGTTGTCGGTCCGTCCAGTAAAGGGTGTCTTCAAATACGGTCAACGAATGCGGATGAAGGAGATAGTGGTTGTGGGCCAACACTTGCTGTCGTCCCGACCCGTCGTAGTTACAGAAGTCTATGTAATCTAACTTCGAGTCCGCGAAATACACTCTTCGAGTGGGAATATCAATAGTGAGACCGTTTGGCCAATAGATTTTGGTGCTAACTATCACTTTGCGTTCACTTCCATCCATTCCCACCCTTTCGATGCGCGGATTCTCTCCCCAATCCGTCCAAAACATGATTCTGGCGTCTTCTCGGGGGTCCAGACATATACCTCGCGGTTGGCTTATGTTCTGAGACAACAACACGATATGGTTTAAGCCGTTTATTGTCGACACTTCTATGGTCTTGAGTCGGGAGTCAACCCAATATAGATTGTTTGCGATCCAATCAACGGCCAGACCTTCAACTAAGTCCAAACCGCTGCCGACCACCACTTCGGGCTCACTCGAGCCCTTTTTCATTCTGAAAATCTTCTTCGAGTGCATATCAGACCAATATATAGTTCCCGTAACCATTTCGGAAGCCGTGGCCACAACGTTCTCCACCCGTACGGGCACTCTCTCTAGCGATACATTTGTGATGTTTGCCACCAAAATAGACCGTCGATTAGAGATAACGAGATAAGCGATACTTCTATTAATAGCTTTGCAATAAGTCTTGTTCTCGAGTTGATAGCCGTCTTCGCACAGACACCTGAACGACGCCTTTTCGTTATAACACTTGTGACTACAACTGCCGACTATTGAACACTCGTCGATATCAGCGCACGTTCTCGTGTCGTTCAGCCGCTCTCCCGGAGGACACGTGCAGAGCGGACCAAATGGTGTTTGCGTACAGTTATGGGTGCACTGGTTATTAGAGCAGGTCTGCAGATCACACGCCGGGCCCTCATCGGCACCGTTAGGACAGTCGAGTTGTTTGTCACAGATTTTATTAATGGGAATACAGCGGTTGGTTATGTTGGGACACATCCACTGACCGCTGGGACAGTCGTAATGAGTTGGTCCGCACGCGTGTCGTTGATCTTCATCGGAATTGTCGCCGCAATCGTCGGTGTTATCACAAATCCAAGACTTAAAAATACACTTTGAATTATTGCACTTAAAGTGATTACTCGGACACTCGATTTCGCCGCATGTGTTCGGCTCATCACTACTGTCCTCGCAGTCCGGGTTTCCGTCACTGTTTCACACAATATATTGTTTTAATAATAAATTTATAACTTTCAGCAAAAATAATGCAAATAACAGTTAATACATACCAATACCAAGACTTGGGAATACATATTCTTGATGTCTGACATTGAAATTGCTTTTCGGCGTCGCATTGATTGGCGGAGAGTGTGGGACATCCCTTCTCGTCGGAGCCGTCCTGACAATCGCTGACACCATCGCAATGATAGCTCTCGTGAATACATTGCTTAAGATTCGCGCACTGGAACTGTGTTGAAGAGCACACGATTGGCGGACAGTTCTGTTCATCAGCTTGGTCAAAACAGTCATTGTCACCATCTGTAACAACAGGTATATTTTAATTATCTAATCATTTAATCTTATTCTTAAAGTTATTTTCTATTCATTTTAAAATATTATTAATAGTGTGTATAAAAAAGTTTTTTAATTCGTAATTATTTATCGTATTTAATGTATTGATAATTTTAAATTGTAAAACCACTCACAGAGACCGTAATCATAGCCTTAACATTGTTTAAAGGGCTGAACTTTTTAGATCATTAGTTATTAATTATTATTAATATTAAATAATGTGATATTTTTATGCTCTGCTTATAGTATGCCTTAAATGCTAATATAATCCGTTTATTTAATTTAATTCAAATTATGTCTCAATGTATTGAATGAAAGCCAAATTCTTTGTAATGCATTAAAATTATAATAAATTATCGCTAATTATTCCTTAAAAGCGATTTAAAATAAATAATACTATTTTTAATTCAATTAAATGCATAGTTTGGTTGAATACATGTATGCTTTAATTAATGGACTTTAATTTTAGTGTTTTATAACAAGAATATGCATTTATTGGGAATTATATGATATTTTGTGGAAATATATGTATCGTATTTCAGACATTAACATGAGTTGAACTAAATTACATGAATTGGAAATATTATTTTTATAGTTAACAAAATAATACTTGAATTCACATTATTGGCAGAAAACAGAGTTATAATAAGGCATAGCCCTGAGAACGGGGTCACCAAAACTAAAACCAACACCAAATCCAAAGAACCACTTCTTATAACATGTATTATGTATTAACAAGAATTGACTCGAGATTTTAGTTTCGAAGTTTTACTTATCAAACGATTATTATTATATCTGTACATAGATTTTGTTGTGAATAAAAAGGGTCACAAATCAAGTATTTCTGCCCATATTATTATGTAATGAGTGTTATGTCGAGAGATCTGTTTTATAATTATAGAGAAAATAAGACAAATTGAGAGAATAAGATAAATGAGAGACGGGTTTTGTGGGCTATAAATACGTTAACTGTTTTTTCTTCTCTTTCGATAGGGTATGGATTAGATGTGTATATATTTAATGAGTTCAACACTGAAAAAAATCATTTGAACTCTCATTTTGACAATAAATTGGACCACTTTTTGATTGCAATCATTCGAGAGAGAGAGAGAGAGAGAGAGAGAGAGAGAGAGAGTTTTTACTTATCAAACGATTATTATTATATCTGTACATAGATTTTGTTGTGAATAAAAAGGGTCACAAATCAAGTATTTCTGCCCATATTATTATGTAATGAGTGTTATGTCGAGAGAGAGAGATTTCTTTTTAATGTAAGAATGTTTATTAAAAATTTTTGCTACTATTACTCCGTTATTACTTCTATTTAAAAACCAAAATTTTTTAATATTTATATAATTGTCAATAAAATCAGCTGAAAGCCATTTATTACATTAAAATTAACGAGCTTTTTTCAAAAGTTATTTATATACAACAAAAATTAATAACTTATTCATAAGAAATATCAACAAAAAAATAAAACCAACGGAAAGTAAAAACTATAAGTAAACCGACATTTTTGGAAGTGTTGGAGACTTCCAGGACTCCAGAAATTTAAGATATTTTAATTAATGTAAGCTTTTATTGAAAAAGACACGGAATTTGGTGGAAACCCATCAAACCGTAACCACAACTCTATAGTTAAGTGTTTAACAATTCATTTACAATAAAGTGCACAAAACATGCGATGATTTATGCAAAGGGTGTGAATATTAGACACAATTCAAGATTTAGAGATTTTTATATTAACGCTAAACAATAAGTGATGTCATTGAGTGGTAAATATATTTATTGTTTAATACTATAAAGGCACGAATATCACCTAGATGTTATTCATCAAATCATCAATTTATTTTTTAGTCAAACAATTTTTCATAGGAAAACTCATCTATTAATACAACATTAATTTATTCAAATCCACACTAGTATGCAGAATAGGAACTAACGTCTTTATAAATACTCTGATCACTCAACCAATGCTAATTTTCAATGAATGATTATTTACAGTATTATTCATTTGTTGTAATATTATTGTCAGTTTTGGCACCTAATCTATAATCATGAAAGTGATGGTATATGCTATAAAACCTCAGGAATGGGCTAAATTATAATCATATGCAATTAGAAATCGTACATAAATTGTACATAACTTATATAAATTTAATGATAGTTCAAATTTGCTTTAAAGCATAGCAACAGAATCACGTGTAATATCAGCACAATTTACAGTAACATTATTGTACTATCATTACTACATTATATAATTTGTATATATATTTGGGGTCACAAATACCATAAACTTATTATTAGAAGACATGCATTAGATATTATACGAAATCAAATAACCATTTAATGGACAGAAAAATGCATGCATTTTATATATTGGAGTCAATATACAAAATCATTATTATTCACATGAAAGATCGATGTGCGGTATAAAACGTGTAATTTGTTAAACAAAAAACAATAAATATCAGCAAATTGTTATCATTTCCAATGCGTTCTGTAATTATTCAATTGAATGAATCAGAAAATAAACACAATTTATAAAAAATTAACTATTTTTCAAAATCAAGTGTAAATAAAAAGTGAAGAAAAAAATTCTCGTGACTTTTAATTACATATGAGTACCACTTGTGCTGTCTCTTAAAGTATTTGCTTTAAAAGTTAACATATTTTTTCTTAAAATTGTTTTTCAATATATCTTTTTATGTATTCATCATTTAATTAGTAATTCATTAACTTTTTCCGAGAAAAACCAATGCATTCATTGAAAATATTGTGGGAAACATTGATTTATTGACTGATTATTTAATGAATAACATTTTTATGTAGTGTATGTGGAAAATACAGTATATAAATAACATAATTATTTATTCATACTCTGAGCGCATATAATAATTATATTCACACAACTATTATGAGATAACCTTAAATACCGATCATTTTTTATTGAAAAAAACAAATATTTTGAATAAAAAAGAAAAAAGCAAAACTTTTTCAAAGCCTTCACATTAATGGTCATAAATCTAAATGTTATCCCAATTTCTGTAAATATTGAAAACACTATTTTTATAAATAGTTGTGTTTATATAATACATCAAACTTTTTTTTAAACATGTTGTGTATATCAAAACACTCTCCTGTCTATCAATTGTATGGCAATTTAATAGCAACTATTTTTTCTTGATTCTAAATACAGACATATTTGAATGGCTTAATGGCTTTGAATGTTTAAATGGCTGAATGAGTGACTCAATCAAAATGCAATCACTGACAGAGACTGGTCTTCCTTGAGAGACATTTACACTTAAATACACATAACATTTGTCCAAATACTGAGAAATGTCTTTTTAGATGTGAAACTTTATAAAATACTCTACACTAACTTATACTACAAAGTACTACAAAGTATAGTGCAAAAGTACGAATGCTCAATCTACCCAAACCTACCCTCTGTCAATTAACCTATCTCATTAATGCTTCACTTATATAATACAGGCACCGGTGAGCTACTGTTCCGCCCAACTTTAATAATCGTATCGTTATATTTATATAATTGCCTAATAAAGTATCAAATTTCTAAAAATACCTACATTTTTATAAATACTTTTCAAAATGAGTATTAATTAAAAAATAATCATAATTTTTCGGTTAATTATATATGAGTTAAACAAAAGGCAGTAATGAAGAGATCATTCGCCAGATTTGAAACACGAAATACTTTTGTGAATTACAATCCATTATAAGACCATAAAAGATAAACATTTGAATTAAACAAACAAGAAATTAGAAAATGACTTTTGAGATGGGATTTTGGGGTCAAATATCAATGGTATTGTGGAGTGGAAGCAGTGATTGTGATAATGTTATTATTATTGACACAAAAATGAAAAGTTTGAGCAAATCTTGAGAATAAAGCAAACAAAAACACTGACCGCAAACCCAACTTTGAGGAATACAGTGACCACTTCCGGGACAAGTGAACTGATAGTAGGCGCAGGTCTTCTCGTGACAGGACTCTCCCTCATCGGAACCGTCGCCGCAATCGTTCTCCGAATCGCATTTCCAGGAGAGGGGAACACATCTGCCGTTTTCACAGGAGAACTCATTGGCCTCACACGTGACGTTCACACAACCCGTTTCGTCCGAATAGTCGCCGCAATCGTTGTCTGAATCACACTTAAAGCCGATGGGAACGCATCGACCGCTCGCGCACTTAAACTCACGGGAACTACACGTCGGTTGAGTGCAGTTCTGCTTCTCGTCCGAGTTATCCAAACAGTCGTCGTCTCCATCGCAGACCCATGTCTTCGGAATACACCGTTGATTATCGCACGTAAAGTCCCACGAGTTGGGACAGGCCTGAACCGGCGGCTCTTTGTCCGGATCAGACAAACATGTCTTCTTGTCGTCCTGTAACTTCTCGCCGTACGGACAGCCGCACTGAGCCGTCAGACCGGAGCTGTGGCTGTCGTTCAGCGGAATCGGGAAACAAAACTTTTGACAGTTTCCGTTGTCGTAAAGACAGGGGTGTCTGTTGTCCACTCTTTGGGCCGATTTACTAAACACACGAATGCCGTACAGACGACTGCCCTCTTCAACAGTGGTGACAATGCGTTCGTTAGAACCGTTCTCTTTATTCATTCTTAAGATGGCATCCAATCGCCAATCAGTGACGTAAAGCCATTCGGCGTGAATGACTAGAGAGAAGGGGTGTTTAATGCGCGGAGAGTTTATGGTCTTGACATCACTGCCGTCGAGGTTCGCGTGTTGGATGTGGTCGAGCAGAGCGTCGCACCAATACAGCCGATCCAACTGGTAGTCAATGCTGAGCCCGTTTGGCCACCCGAGCAAAACACCCCTAAAGATCATCACATTTGTTCCGTCCAGATATGCGCGGCTTATATTCGCCGGTCGATCCCATTCCGAGTAAAACACAAACCCTTTGTTCGGGTGAACCACTATAGCTCGCGGCCGCTTCAGGTTCTTCAGCAGAACTCGTTTGTTTGTAGAGTTGGCAACACTGATCACATTAAGAGTCCCTTTCCGGCTGTCGATGTAATACAGATTGTTTGAGACCCAGTCGTGGGCCAAACCCTCGACGCCCTCGTTCTGTGAGGCCAACACATTCTCTTTGCCGGTGCCGTCGACTTTGATCTTATAGATCACATCCAATATAACGTCCGAATAGAATATATAGTTATTCCTGGCGTTGAAGTCGAGTCCCACAAAACGGGCTGATCTGCTGACCACCGGAACGATTGCATCATTAAATCCGGGCGACTGTTGGTCCAGAAGTATTCCTCTCACAAACTTCTGCTGCGAATACATTAGGAACTCCTCGACTCTGACACAAGTCTGTTGATTGGACGCCAATTGAAAGCCGATACTACAGGCGCACCGGTATCCTAAGGCATAGGCACTGCCGTCGCCGTTGCGAGTGATGACACACATGTGATGACAGCCGCCGTTATTAGAGCCGCAAGGGTTAGGAACTATTGGCTGACGAACCGAATGAAACGCTTTGATACCGCGCGGCTCTTTGGCCAGACGTCGCTCTCTATATATGGCCTCAACGTTGGCGTCGGGATTGTTGTAGATATTAGTCTTGAGAACTCCCTGTCGAGTGCTGTCCGTCCAATAGACGTGATTCTCGAAGAGAGTGACCCTCACGGGCGCCGGCACTTTAGTACTGCCTCTGATGATGGCGTGTCGGTTCTGGCCCTCGTAGTCAACCGACACAATTTGATCCAATTGCGAGTCACACCACATCACTCTTTCGTTCACATAATCAACAGTAATTCCCGACGCTTTGTATATATAGTTCATGACAATTGTCTTTCGTTGGGTTCCGTCCATAAGCGCCCGATCGATGTTATCGGTGTCCGTGAAAAACATAAAACCTTTGGTCGGATCGAGCGCTATGTCGAGCGGCGCCGTCAGGTTCTGACTGATGACAATCGTGTGTTTACTGCCATCCATTTCAAACAGACTTATCATCTGATTATGAGTGTCACAAACATAAATCTTATCGTTGATCCAATCGACGGCTAATGCAATCGGATTCCATTGAAAGGACACCGATATCTCCTTATGTTGAATACTGGTATTGAAAGCTCTGGGCTGACGCCATGTGTCCAATTGCATCAAATAGATCTGCGGCACCGAAACAATTATATATTTTTATTTCATATACTGTATAAGACATTCAATTCAAACCTTTCGTGTCTCGACGTCTGACCAAATCAATTGATTCTTCACGTAATGAAAGTCAATACCGCTGACGGCAGTTGTATTGGTAATGGTGTCTAACGTGGAACCGGTGGCGTCGATCCGATATATGGCGCTGTGATGGCCAAAGATTAGCCGCATATCCGAACCTTAAATTACAATATAATTAAAATGCAATCTAAAAATATTGTTTCTATTCTTACTATTAGTGGCTTTGCAATGTCGGGGCTCAACCAATGAATAGCCGGACCCGCACTGGCACTGGTGACTGCCCGGTGTATTAATACAGATCTGGTCACAAGAACCCCATTCTTTGCACTCGTCCTGATCTATACACGTTCTCTGGTCTTTCGGGTTAATGGTCTTCCCGTCCTTACAATAACAGGTCCCGCCTTCGAGAGAAGCCCTGCACTTGTACTCACACGACAAAGAATCGCACAGTTTGGACGCTAATCGTGTACGGGATGTAAAATATTACAACAAATGCTAATAAACTGTTTATTAACAAGACATACAACAGGCGTCCTTCTCGTCGGCGCCATCCTTACAGTCCTGTTTTCCGTCGCAAAGTTTCTCTTTATTAATACATAATTTTTCTGTTGGACACAAAAATTTCGTGTCGGGACAGGAGATCATCGCTATATAATAATAAGTTGGGAAAAATTATTTAGAAATATGCTTTTCATGTGCTATATATTTGGTGGTCATTTGTGTAGACGTACTGCAATTGGCCTCATCTGAACTGTCGGTGCAGTCGGAATGTCCGTCACATTTCCATCTCTATTATAAGTGTCATAATATTTGTTGGAAAAAAATATTTTTTCATTAAATAAGTATTTAATATGTATTCGTATTATCTTATCATTTAGTTTAGCAAATAAAGGACATCCACTGTGGGATGGATGAGGACCGGTATGCATGTGTGTGTGTCTGTATGTATGTGTTTGAGATATACTGTGAGCTAATATGAGTTAAATGAGAGAGTGTGAGGGCAGTGAGCAACAGGTGTCCATTATATTTGCCACAAATAAATATTCACTTTAAATAGATTTTAAATATTTAATGTTTTGAGAGATTTTTATGGATATTTTTTTAGTGGAGAAAACGTGAGGTTTTGGTTGAGATTATGTTTTGTTTGGCGAAAAAATATTGTTTACGAATATATTTGATTGCAATTATAGAAGTGTTGGAAGCATTGGATTTCAATTACATCTAAACACTATATGGTTTACAGACTATACACAAACATATCAATCATTTAATACTATTTACATTAATTTTGAGTTAAATGTTTGACATTAAAATCGATATTAAATTTCCAATTAACACTATTATCACCAAAATGTTATAGTTCTAACATAATATACAAATGATGATGATCACTATGAACATTGTTCGGGGAGGGGGTTGGGGGTAGTTATGGTGTGTCAGGTGTGGGGTAAGTGATGGGATGAGCTGTTCGGTCGATCACATGCCGAATAGGGATCAAATGTTTGATGCAGTGAAAGCTTACCTGAGGAATGCAGATGGCATTGGAGCACCTGAACTGGCCCTCATGACAGGCCGGGAAATCGCATCCCTGTTCATCAGAGTTGTCGCCGTCGCCGCAGTCCGACCAATGGTCACACTTCTTGGTCTCGTCAATACATTTGGTACTGTTTAGACACTTAAACTCATTGATCTGACACGAAGTGCCTTCTCATCGACAATACATAGCGTATAGAAAAACAAGAAAAAAGTAATGAAATGATGAATTGCAAGAGTGAGCCAATGGTTTTGGGTGTCGGACGGCGTGAGAGACGCCGATAATGTTGAATGTGGTGTAAAACATACCGATTTGAGTGGTGGTCAGTATCTGCGGTGTCCATAATGCAAATAATATGAGATACAACACTAGCTGAATGACCCGAACTTTAGCTTCCATAGTATCATATCATTTGGAGTCGATTTTTGATAATTGGTTTTTGAATGCGAACAGAAATATACAGCAAAAAAAGTTTCGCATACAATAAACTTACAATAAGTTTTACACGCATACAACTGGACGGCGCATGACTACCAGCGCTACTGAGCCCAGTCTTGAGGCACACTCGCAGACACACACATACTCTCCGGTTATCCCCCTCTCCCTCTCTCCCTCTCTTGTGCTGATCTCTCGCGTATAGCCATCGCCACAACCGGAATGCACTCCAGCGACACACCATTCAATCATACCATAGGAGAGAGCATAGAGGAGAGCACAGGTAGCTTCACATCAGCCCCACCACCACTACCACCGCTCACCTGTGCATCTCCTCTCATACCAACACCAGGTACTGACTGACACCACCAACAAGTGCTTATATATTCGTATAAATGCTTGTATATATTCACAGAATATATATTATTTCGCATTCACTATACATTTTAGGCCTATATATACCATATATTCTCTACCATTCAATTGTATGGAGTTTTTAAAATGCATTTTACGCTTTATATTGTGTTTTTTCAA